TAGCGTATCAAAAAATCAATTATTTACGAGATATTTTATACTTTATTCTGGCATATATTAACATTAAATATTTAACAATTTATTAAGCATTAATTTTTTCATAATCGTACCTTAAAACTTTTATAAACAGAATAATGAGATGAATTAATTGGTGGATGAAAAACACATAGATGCTTTAAAATAAATATGTATGTAAAAAGAATAATTTTTTAAATAAGCAGCTATGTGTTTTCCCAGTGAGAAATGACAATAGAGACGGTATCGAATCGATGTTCATTCGACATCGAAGTCATCAAATTGATGTCTATTCAACATCTCGATTTTATTGTCATTTCTTACTGGGTTCTTTCCATCAATTGATCCATTTCATTATTCTGTTTACAAAGGTATAAAGAAAAAAAAAATTAATAATTTACGAATTATTTAGTATTTTATGTCAATATATGTCAGAATAAAGTACAAAATATCTCGTAAACTATTGGCTTTTTGATATCATTACCTTAATACTTTTATATGTAGAATAATTAGAGGAATCATATTGTGTAAAAAAAGATCATAAAATTCCATTTAAGAAAATGGAGGTGATCTAGAAATCTCCGAACGCCTCCAGTCATAGAAAAACTACTACCAGTATATTGTACCCCTCTTGATGCTAAATACAAATTCAATGAATATATCATTTCATATCTCTAGAGATAGCGGAAATATTCTAAGTCGAGAGAGTTACTGTCTCAACCTTGTATATATACACTACGCAACAAAATTTTTCATCGAAATTTTCCTATTTTTCAAATGCGCATAACTTGGTCAATTTCCATCGTATCAAGACGACTTTTTTTCATTTTATAGGTAATTATCTGTACTTTAAGAAAAACATCATGCGAAATTAGGTGCAATTCGATGCCGCATCTCCATGTTTTGATAAAGCCCAAGCATTTTTTTCTTACAAAATTTGATTGTTTGACGCGCTACCTGGATCGCCCCGATTTTTTTTCGAAAATTCCACATAGACCATCGTAAAGTGGACTTTTCAACAAACAATTTGAAAAAAATTTGAGTCTCTACGATTTTTTTTTGACCAAGTAATGCCATTTTGAAGTTATTCGGGCATTTTTAACGAATACCGCCAGCATTAGCATTACCCGATACGTACCGCGAGGAGGTTGCTGGTCGGACTTTACGCATCATTTTGGCCCTGAAAAGGACCGATTATGTAAACCATTTATCAAATTAGGGACCCCGTGGCTCGTCACTTTTACAGTATTTTCTGACTCCAAACCCTATTTGCCTAATGCCAGGGCGGTCAAGTGTTAGAGGCATTCAATACCGTGTATTGCCACCTCCGCGTCGGGTAACCTCTCCTAAACGTTCTTGCATATTAATGCATGCTCTGATTGAATCTTGAGGTATCTCGTGCCAGATTTCATGTAGAGCTCTCTCAAGCTCTTGCAGATTAGCAGGAGGCCTCTCCAAGTTACGTAATCTCCTACCCATCATGTCCCATACATGCTCAATAGGATTGAGGTCTGGGCTGTTAGATGGATGAGGCAGTAACTGTATATTGTTTACTGACAAGTACTCACGAGTTCCCCTCGCAACATGGAGAATTGCATTATTCTGCATCAAGAAGAAATCACGGCCTATTCGTCGACGCATTGGAATCACGCAAGGACGCAAAACTTCGTTTATGTAACGTACCGCTGTAAATCCTGGGGGTTGGAGAATCACTAGATCGGTTCGATGGTTCATTGATATTCCACCCCATACCATAACGGATCCTACACCGAACGCCCGAGTTGGATCAACATGATTCGCTTCAAAACGCTCTCGTCTACGTCGCCAAATTCGGATCCTAGCATCATTCCCAAACAGACAAAATCGGGATTCGTCTGTAAACAACACATTTCTTCAATGTCTGGCAGTCCAGTTTCGATGATTACGGGCGCAACGTAGACGAGTTCGCTGATGCGCTGTTGTAAACATGGGCACTCTAGCACGAATTCGTGATCTTAAACCTTTTTCGTGAAGGAGTCTTCTTATCGTTTGAGTACTAATTCGTCTGCCTGGTAAAGCTTCATTCCCGATTTGTCGCGCAACTCTTGTTGGGACGCGCAGAGCTTCATTGACAATGTTGCGATCCTCCCGATTCGTAGTTACCCTAGGTCGACCTTGACCAGGCCTCCGACGATAAGAATCTGTTTCTTGGTACCGACTAAAAACACGTGATGCCGTCGAGCGATTAATACCCATTCTTATTGCTACGGTGCTCTGACTCAATCCCACCTCTAGCAGGGCCACAATTTGTGCAGATTGAATTTCAGTAAACAGAGGCATTTTTAGTAAGAAAAAAAATATTCTGTGCTTTTCTGTTTTTTTTTATTAGTATTCCCTCTGCATAATAAAATTAATGTTCAATACGGATCCTTCCCCATAATGAGGTTTTGGCATTTGACTCTATCGCGATATTCGTTAAAAACGCCCGAATAACTTCAAAATGACATTACTCGGTAAAAAAAAATCGTAGAGACTCGAGTTTTTTTTCAAATTGTTTGTTGAAAAGTGCACTTTACAATGGTCTATGTGGTATTTTCGGAAAAAAATCGGGGTGATCCAGTTAACGCGTCAAACTATCACATTTTTTAAGAAAAAAAATGCTTGGGCTTTATCAAAATATGGAGATTCGGCATCGACTTGCACCTAATTTCGCATCAAGTTTTTCTTAAAGTACAGATAATTATCTATAAAAAGAAAAAAAATCGTCTTGATACGATTAAAATTGACCGAGTTATGCGCATTTGAAAAATAGCAAAGTTTCGATGAAAAACTTTGTTTCGATAATTTTGTTGCGTAGTGTATATATATATATAATAGAATAAATACGTATATATAAAATAGAACGTATTCAAGATTATCTTTACAGTTAATTCTTTTCTATTTAACCTTTTCGCTCCTAACGCTGGCTATGTTCGGCATCCACGAAGCGATCCGTACATACGAACGCTAGCTACAGCCAAGTAATTTATAGTGTTGCTTATACAGTTACGTCAAACCATCCCGAACAGCCATATACCAAACGTTGGTAACACTGATTTTGTCAAATGGTATATATTTAAACATAATTAGTCATGGTAGTATATTGATACCTATAAAGCTAATGATATGGAAGGGATAATTAAAAAACGGTTTACAAAGAAATTATAATTATATTGTTTTAAGGGACAATCCTTTTTATTTTTCATAAACATGTCAAGGTTGCGTTGTTCATGCTGTTCGGGCGTAAAATGAAATTTTAAACGTCGTAAACTGTCCACATATAATGTGTACACTTTTGGCTCGGGGTCCAATCTATGGCGGTATTCCGACGGACCGCCTGCTTTTTGATCGAAAGGGTTAACAAAACTGTTTTTATTAAGCATAATGATAGCATACTTTCTTTCAGATGTACGCCACAATTGTGTCCGTTAGGATCACTCTTTCGCAGGTATATAACAGACCTTCTATTCTCGTAGTAAAGCTTGAAAAATTTTGTTTGGTTATGGTTTGATATGAATAAGATGCGCGCGCGCATGTATAATTAAATGCATTTTATTTAAACGAAAATCTCCGATTTTGCCATAACAATCAAAAATAATTTCTGGTTGACTGGAATCGAGATTTTACATCTAAAATTATATTATATTATATTATATTATAGGTATTATATTATTAAGATTTTTTAAATATCTTTCAGCTTGGTTGGGATTACGGTTCTTTTGAATATAGATCATCAGAATCATGATTAATTTTAATCTCAGCGCACTATAGCAGTCCAATTATAGTGTCAGTCGACACAAATCGGGCGAATATG